CAGAGTCCCAAGACCTGGCAGGAAGCAGCCTTCAGAGCCTGAGGGACAGGTAAGTAGCTGGCACTGATGGGAGAAGGATGTGGAAGAAGGGAGCATCAGCTGGAGAGCAGAGGCCTGGGCAGATACTGGTTTTATTTAAAAAGTTGACATTTTTATCTGGTGTGGATTTGTTTGTATTGGTTTTTGCTTTTTACTATTGTATTAGAATGTTATTTATCTTGATGATTGAGGTTTTTGGCATCTCTTATATTTTGCACCTAAGACTGGTGCCTCACTCGCCTCACCATGGTCCTCTGGGTAGGACAGACACAGGAAGGCCGGGCAGGACATGCGCAGCCGGCGCTATTCATTTTAGGGGCAGACCCACCTTCTCAGTGGCCCCATAAGGTCCTGCTGTCATCCCTGTTTTAAAGACAAGAAGAGAGGTCCAAAGAAGTGGCCACAGTTCCAGGACTTGAAAAAGTCCCAGGACTGAATGCTGTGACCTCATCAGCATGTCCTGTGTTTTAACAAAATGGTCCAAGAGAAATGGTGGTCTGCAAGGTGTACAGAGAAGCGGGCAAGAGCTTGGCTAGGTCCCCCCACCAAGGTCTTCAGCTCCCTAACTCATTCATAGATGTTTACTAGGGCCAGGCCTGGGGACACAAGCGGGTGGACCTGAAAGAAAGGAATCATGTCCAGTTATGGGGACAGACCCTTGGGCCATTTTAGGAGCAGTAAGGTGAGAAGGGTATGCCCACGCTGGTCTTACTGATAGCGGGGTGCTGACCAATGATGGAAGCGCTCCGGGCAAAGGGCACAGCATGGGAGAGAGAGAAGAGTGAGACACACAGGCTTGACAAGGAGCTGGGGGCAGAGCTGGGGCACAGACCACAGGGGTCTTGTGTACCCTGTATTTTATCTTAGGGTCTAGGAGGAGTTTTGAGAGATTTCAGTAGAGGACGGTCAGACCCAGATTCATGTTTGGAAAAATGGCTTCAGATTGGAGACTGGTGTGAGGCTAGATTAGAGGATAGAGAAGGGGCAGAGGCCAAAGCCTAAGCTTTGGGGATGGGGAGGAAGTACTTATCTCTGTGGCGACCAGGTCCAAGATCTCCAATGACAATGGCAAGTAAATATGAAGGGATGATAACGGAGAATCAATGGGGAGGAAAAGGCACTCTTGTGGACTGTCTATAGATGTCTAAAATGTACAACCATTTTAGCAATATACAGGTCATAAAAAATGTATTTATTTAAATTGTGCAATTTCACTTCTAGAAATTCATCCAGAGGGGGAAGTAACCAAAGACGTAACCAAAGGTTTATAGACAAGAATAATTAGCTCAACATTATCAATGATGGGAAAAAACTGGAAATAGCCTAAACATCCAGCCGAAAGGGTGTGACTAAATAAAGTCCGCAGCATCTATCATAAGAAATCTTACACAAACTTCCAAAATTATGTTTTTGAAGCAGCTCAAATAATATGACAAAATCAATTTTTAAAAGGATATGCACAGAATGCTTCCAACTGGGTTTTTAAAGTATGTGTGAATTCTCAAAAGCTAGTCAGAAAATATAGAAAAATGTCAGTGGTGTGTCCCTGGCTGGTGGGATTTTGCCTAATTTAAATTTTTGTTTCATAATTTTATGTAGTTATGAAAATGTTTGCAAGAACATTTATTTCGTTTTTATCTTCTAAAATAATTTTAATACAAGAGTAACAGATACTTGTTGTAAAAAAAATTAAGCACAGAAGTATATTAAAGTAAAAATTGAGTGTTTCTGCTTACCATTTCCCCACATTGTCCCTAAAACCCATTCTCTAGAGACAGCCACTGTCAGACTGGTCTATAAACTTCCAGCCCTTCTCCTATGTGTGCATGTCCCTGAAAACACACACACACACACACACACACACACATCTAGTTAGTGTTGGGATTTTATTTTTCAAAAATGGAACCATACTCTGCATATTATCTGCAACCAGCTTTTTAAACAACCTGTTATTGACATTTTCTATATCAGTGCATAGGGATATCCCATGTTCTTGTCATGGCTTTGTATGACCTCAAAGTTTAGATGAACCAGAATACATTTAAGCATTCCCTAGTAATGGACATTTTAGGTTGTTTCCAGTTAAAAATATAAATTACAAGAGATGCCATAGTGGAAATCCCCACATGTGTGTACAAGTACAAAGTGCACTTATGTTATTACCATAGGGATAGATGCCTAAAAGTAGAATTGCTGGGTCAGAGAGAAGGTGCTTTGGGAATTTTCATAAGTAGTGCCCACTTGTCCTCCCAAAAGGCTCTTCCAACTTACATTCATTACAGTAAATGATGGTGCCCTTTCCTCTACATCCTTGTCCATAAAATGATATTGTTGATCTTTTTCATTTTGCCCACCTTGTGAGCAAAAATGAGAGTATGGTTGTTGTTTACCTGATCATTGATGAAACTTATTTTCCTTTCGTATTTTTACTGACTGATTTTATTTCTTTTGTGAATTTACCGGTCATAGTTTCATGTTTTTTTTTTTTATTTGAGTGGTTGCGTTTTCTGGTAGATCTATAGAAAGTCTTCATATAGTTAAGATATTAACTCCCTTGTTAAGTTTGTATGTTGTAAATATTTTTCCCTGATCAGTTTTATGCCTTTTGTTAATGGAGTCTTGCGCCGTAAAGCCATTTTTAATTTTTATGTGTCAGATTGGTTTAACTTTTTCTTTATGGTTTCCGTGCTTTGTGACAAGCATAGAAGAGGCATTGTTATTTCAATATTATAAGATCATTTTTCTATTTTATTCTGGTACTTTCATTGTTTTGGTGTTTGGTTTTATTTCACCTGGAGTTTATTTTTATGTGGGTAAGGATATACCCTTATTTATTTTCCAAATGGAAAGCCAATCGTCATGTATTTATTGAACATAAATACAATTTATATTAAATACTAAGTTATTGACTGATCACTTTTTGTGGCTCTAGTGATCAAATAATCTATTCCTGTGCCCGTTCCACCCTGTTTTAATTATTTTAGCTTTACAGTACGTTTTGATATCTGGTAGGGAAAGAACCCATCATTGTTACTCTTGTTCAAAATATCTGTGTCTATTCTCTGTCATTTTTTTTTATTGTTGGACTTTAGAATTGATTCACTCATTTTCAAAGATCACTGTTTTGGTGTTATGTTTGTAATTTCATGGAATATATGGATTAATTTGAGAAGAACTGACATCTTTGCAGTGCTTAGCATTGTCTCTCAGGATATGCCCCCACTCACTTACTTTTCTATTATGTCCATCAGTTGAGTTATTTTATATTTCATTCATGGAAATCTTGCACATTTTCTAAGTTTGTTTCTAGGGTTTTTTTAATATAATTTTTTTAAAGCTGTAGATTTCCCCCCATCTCATACCCTAAATGGGAACTGTTTATGTAAAAGAGGAACCTACTGATTTTTGCATGTTGCTCTTGCATTCAGTCACTTTATTTAACTCTTGTGTTAGTTCTAATAGTTCTCAGCTGATTGTCTTGGGAGTTTTTTTAAGTAGACTACCACATCCTCTGCAAATAACCATGTTCTTTCTTTTTTTCCTATTACTTACACTTTTTCCCCCTCATCTCATTTCATTGGCTAAAATCTGTAGAAAATGTTGAATAATAACATTGACAGTGGACAACCTGGCCTTGAAGAAGGTTTTGCCTTTAAATGTGAATGTTGTTATAAGTTTGGGGAGAGTTGAGGATGTTTCCTTCTATTATGAACCTAATAAAAGGCTGGATGTTTATTCTCTCTAAATCAGAAATAAGTGTTGAATTTATATTACTATTATATTCAGTTTTGTTTCAAAAATTTTATGTATACATCTTAAACACAACCATGACCAAATGGCCCTGCTGCTGAGGTGAAAAAATGCTGGCCCCAATGCAACGGGTTATCTTCCAATTTAGATAAACTATACTAGGAGATAAAATAAGATTTGGCAAAGCCTAAGGATTTTTGCCATCATAAACCCTTAGAGTATGACTTGGGTGATTTTTTTTCTTCCTCTAAGTATCTTAATGATATTTTGTGTGACGGTAGGTCTTCTAGAACATAGAGGGTGATTCAATTAGAGAAAAGCATTCTGGGATGACTCCAGGCCTCTGACTTGGAGACAAATCAGCTGAAGTGAGGACAATATGGGGAAATGTGAGGAGTTTCAATGGAGTCTATTGAGTCTGAGGTGACTGTAGGGCATTCAAGAAGAGTTCAGGAGGTGTAGTGTATGTGACTCTAGAGCCAAAAAGAGAGGTTGGAGCTGGAAATAGGGATGGGAGACTCTTGGTCAGTATTCTGAGTGCACAGTGTAGGTTAGAGGCAGAGAGAGTGGGAGAGAACAGTAAGAATGAGATTCTGGGTGGTGGTCTGGGAGTCAGCAGCCGTGCAAGGGCTGGGAAGAAAGAGAGGGGGAGAGTGGGTAGTCTCAGATGCCAAGGAGAGAATGGCCATAAGAAAGAGGGACCTGTTGCAGAGATGTCAGGGAACTGGGGAAGGATTTTGGACTCGACCAGGATGAGGGTCTTAGTGGTTTTGACTAATTGATTTCTGGGAAAGATGGAGGTGAGAGACATGGGGGCCCCAATTGTGTACTACCATGTAAAACACTTGGGAACCATTGTTGGAGAAATGGACAGATGATGGTTGAATGGATGGACAGCTAATGTATGTATGTATGTATGTATGTATGTATGTATGTATGGATAGATGGATGGATGGATGGATGGATGGATGGATGGATGGATGGATGGACAGAAAGACAGTGGTCTGAAAGATCAGAAAAGGCTTCATGAAAGAGGTGGAACTGAACCATGTCTTGGTGTGTGGAGACAAAGAGGGAAGGGGACTCCATATGGAAGCACCGTGAGTCAGAAATTATCCGGTGTTCATGGCCCCAGAGAAGAAGTTAGCCTCAATGGAACACGGGAAATTGTGGGGAAGGAACACTTAGAGGCCCTAACATGAGACCAGGAGATGTCAGGTAGGTCTGAGCCACATCACACAGCCGCCTGAGGGGACATGGCACTCAGAATCTTTATTAGCGCTAAGGATGGTGGTGACCAGGACAGTCTCAAGGGCGGGGGGGAGAAAACACACTGGATCACCCCAAGGCATCAGTGGTGCCTGCTTTGGATGGGGCTCTGGAGCATGGAGATGCTTCTGGGCCATGGGCCCAATCAGGTGTGCCCCAGTCTCTGGGGGACTGACTGCCTATATGCCCTGCTCCAGAACATAGCCCCTTCCACTGTAGCCGTGCACCCGTCACGCTCAGCAGGTTCCTGCTCTGAACTGGTCCCTGGGGGATAGGGCCCAGGTGCTGGCCCATTGGGTTTTAATCCGAGCCTCAGTCACTGTGGTATATCTTCGGCAGCGGGACCCAGCTCACCGTCCAAAGTAAGTGGCTCTTACTACCTTTTCCAACCTGTCCCACCCCTCTGCTGTCTCAGGAAAGTCACTTTTCTCTCTCTGTGAATGGCTTCCCCTCTGTCCTCCCAGCCTTACAGACCAACCCTCACTTTCTCCAAGGGGTCAGTGGAGGCAGGTTGGTTTTGGGGTAACCAGCAGGAAGGACCCCAATGGCAGGAGCAGCCACCTCCAGAATCCAACAGTCAGACACGACCAGGTCCTAATGGCCTGGGCTGGGGATTTGGCCTAGGAGTGGGGCTCCTTCCCCTCTTCCAAGGTGATGCCCACATGGGGACCAGAGGCTGGTTCTGACACTTGGGCAGAATAGAGGCAGTCCGTAGCTCCCAGAGTCTGATCTCAGGGCTTGAGCCCATGCAAGCTGGGAGGGCCACACTGGAGGCTGGGCACAGGCTATCACCCCAATCCCCGGGACACAGGGTCAGCCCAAGGGGAGGCCCATGGAGGGTGGAGAGAAGGGTCTGTCTCACACTAGGCTGAGGCTCTCAGGGCCTCTGTCGAGCCTTGAGGACATGGGGATTCAGAGACATGAATGAGATAGGCTGAGGTGGCCAGAAGCCTGGTTCTCCCAGCTCAGTAGTCAGAAAGGAGCAGGTCCCATGGGACAGAGACTAAGCTGATCCTGGAGCCCCTAACCTCTGGGGCTCTGTCCAAGGGTCAGCCTCCCACAGAGTGTTAGCTTCAGGAGATGATGCATGGGGGTATGAACAGGGGATTCAGAGCTACACAGCTGCCTGTGAAATCAGGGGTTGTCAGAAGTACTGGGGTGGCTGTGGGGTTACTGTGCACATTGTCTGGGGGAGCAGCCCCAAGAACAGAGCCTAAGTTAGGGGTCCTGGGGTCAGTGCATAAGGGCTAGAAAGATGGGCAAAGCTGCAAGGAGCCCTGGGGCTTTGGCTAGGAGGACCAAGACCTCACTGGAGAGATGAGGCTGGGGAAGAGGCAAAGTCAGGGGCTCAAGGAAGATATGGGTCTGCAGGCCCCGCTGTGTGTTAGGCTTATGCTCAGGGCCTTACCACACGCTGTCAACATCATCCTGGGGGCTAGATGAGAGACCACGAATCACAGAGGAGGCAAATGACTCCAAAACTGAGGTGGGGGCCTGATGCTGGTATGACAGCTTCAGAGGTCAGCATCAGAATCCACAAACAAATTTCAGAAGACCAGGAGAAGGAAGAACAGCCTGCTCTGGTTACACTTCAGGAAAAAAACTACAGACAGAGAGGCCTGACCAGGTCACAATAAGGAGGTGACCTAGAAGCGGTTTAGGAAGGGGGAGGCTGTCTGCTTTCCAGGGGCTGAGTAGAAAGAAGGAACAGAACAGAAAGGAAGAACCTCTGGGTGAACAAGCATTGACACAATGGGAATGTTCACAGAGGCTATACATATTGTGTGTGGGGAAGGCTCCCCCAACAACTTGGACTTTCCCTCTGCGTCTCACACCGCTCCTCCGCCCCCACAGGTCAGCCCAAGTCTGCGCCCTCGGTCACTCTGTTCCCGCCCTCCTCTGAGGAGCTCAGCGCCAACAAGGCCACACTGGTGTGTCTCATCAGTGACTTCTACCCCAGCGGGGTGACTGTGGCCTGGAAGGCAGATGGCACCGTCGTCAACCAGGGCGTGGAGACCACCAAGCCCTCGAAACAGAGCAACAACAAGTACGCGGCCAGCAGCTACCTGAGCCTGACGGCCGACAAGTGGAAAGCTGCGAGCAGATTCAGCTGCCAGGTCACGCACGATGGGAGCACCGTGGAGAAGACAGTATCGCCCTCAGAGTGTTAGGTTCCTGAGCCCCCCACTCTCGGGGGCATTCTTCATCCAGACACCCCTTTACTCAGATCTCCACTATACCCCGAGAAACCCCTGCCCAAGAGCAGCTCAGACTGGGCAGGTCTCACTACCTCCCCATTTCTACTTCTCCTCAATAAAGACCTAATCATTTATCATCTCACACTCTCTGTTTGTGCTGAGTCTCTAGGTTAAGGGGTCTGTTATTACGGGAGGGGACAGTTATG